TGGTGAGCAGTTCAGTGTGAGCAAAAGAAGCAAAGCTGGAAGGATCACAGTTCTGTATTTCAACTTACACTACAAATCTACAGTGATTTAAAAAAAGCATAGCACTGGCACAAAAACAAACATGTGGATCAATGACACAGACTAAAAGATCTCAAAATTTTGTGTGTACTAAACAATGCCTAACTTAATGGTGTTCTTTTACTATCAAACTAAAAATATATCTTAACTGCATAAGTTTAGACTTTAAAAATCCCATAGCTGTTAGCTTTCACTCTTATCTGTTACAGAATGATGGCCACACCTAGACCTGAGCTTGTAGGACCTCAAGGAGAGTAGTAGAGGGAATGAAACCCTCAGGAGAGGAAAACACTAATGACATTCTCATTGTGAACCCAAAGAAGAAGGCAGCCTCTGTGTGTCAAAGTATTGCTCTTTGACCTAGTGTGTCCCTGAATTTCTCATCCAAGGTTTTCCAGAAACTTGGAAATCAGTGTAGAGAAGGGGAATGATAGCCTTGATGGTGATCATCCTTAAAGTGTGGGAAGGAAGTAAAAGATTGAAAGACACTATAAACAAATACTTATTTAAATGTCAAAGGTGCTGTCTGCTGGCATCCTCTTTTGGGAATTTTTAGGAAAACTTCAATAATAATTACAATAGGTTGCATTCATTTCTAGTAAAAACCAACACTTGATTTAACATGATGTCATTTTCTGAAGTGTTGTTAAATATAATGACTTGAAAATTCAACTGGCCACTGAAGCAGAATTAAATTTAGTTTTAAAAATTGTAGTGAAATACAGATGTTGTTTTGGAATTATATATCCTCCTTACTTTATGTGGAAATACATGTACAGGTAATTCATGTGACTACTATTTAGGTTGTATTTATAAGTCATCCAGGATAAAATTCAAATACCTTGGCCTAAAACTACCTTTTCTTTCCTATCTTCTTTTAAGTAGTACTGATCATCTAAAAAATATCTGATTCATTTACTTTTGTTTACTGTCAATAACATATGTCCTTTTGCTTGAATACAAGTTTTAAAAAACAGTGATACTTATTTGCTGATGTGATTCGAGAGCCTGGGACAACACCAGTGCACCAACTGGCTTTCCAAGAAATGCTGACTGAATCTGAATGAATCAGATTTCCCAGCCAAGCCAAGGGAAAGTTGATCTATTTCTTCATTATCTTTCAGAGTGGTTTTAATAGCAACATCACAGAACATATGAAAAGAATTTCACATGTTATTGGTGAGCCTGAAACATGAACAGGGACTTGGGTATCCATCAGTTATGGCCCCTCACTAATGTGATTGTGTCCTAACAGTATGGGCATTATCTGAGAATGGTAAACCTAGGGAAAAAAGTCAAGTATGATAGTGGTGGACTTGATGATGGAGCCCTTGCTATAATCAATCTAATAATGATAGGAAAACTTGATATATTTTCAGGAAAGGTTTCAGAAAAATCAGAATGAACTTGGAATAAGGTAAATGTTTTTTTTTTCCAAATCACAATATTCTTTTATCCTGTGTCCCTTCCTCAAATAGGTGTCTTTATTCCACTATGCCTGCAGTTTTTGCTCTTCCCTTTCTATTGACCTAAACCCTTAGCACCCTCATTTAGCCAGTCACAGGGTTGCCTGGTATTTACTTTCTTCATTCCTGCCAACATTCTGGTCTTCTGAGCTCCATCTCATATTGCCAGCCTAGCTTGACTTAGGTTTTCTTTTGGCTTCTCTTTCTGGTCTGTTCATGCTCTTCAAAGTACTCCTA